CATGTTTTCAAGTTTAAAGGTTAACAATGTTACCTTTTCTTCAAGTTCATAGTTCATAGCTTGAATTTTTCCTTTCTCCTCCTAAAGTTTAGCCATGTCCTTTTCTTGTGCTTCATTTAACTTACACACTTCTTCACTTTTCAAATAGAGATCTTTGTAGAGACTTAATAGTTCTTCATAAGTAAGATTTTCATCACAAGAATCCATATCAGATTCATACATGTCAGTCAGAGCTACATTCTTTACAACTTCCACACTTTTAACATTACTAGAATTCATGATGTCGAAATGGATATTCTGAACATCTGGTTCTGATCTTATCTTGTCCAGAAACGTTTCTTCAAGAAGCATAATTCCTTTTGATAACCCTACATCAGAGTCAAGAGTACTGGAAATACTCTTGTTCTTTTTCTCAGATCTTACACTCATCTTAAACTTAAAAGTTTGAAGAAATCCAATAATTTCATCCACTTTCATGCTTCTAACGTCTTAAGCCTCCTTAATGGCAGTAACCTTCATGTCAAATTTCCTAGGTAAGGACCTAAGAATCTTCCTGACTAGTTTTCTTCTGACATTTTTCTCCCAAGAGGCTTGATGCATTAGCAACTTCAAGGATCTTCACATGAAACTCCTGAACAATCTCATTATCATCATATTTAGATTTTCAAACTTAAAGGAGAGAAGTTGAAGTTTTGACATCTTTACTTTAGATGTACCTTCATGAGTTGTCTTGAGATTTTCCCAAGCATTCTTGGCCAAGGTACATGTATTGATCATCCTGAAGACATTTATGTCCACTCCATTGAATAGAGCATTCAAAGCCTTAGAGTTTCCACTTGTTGATTTCTCCTCATCTTCAGACCAATCTTCTTAGGGCTTTAAGTGTATATTCCCATCTTTTTCCTTCACACTAGGAGGATCCCACTCTTTCAAGATAGCCTTCCATGCTTTCATGTTCATGGATCTCAAAAAACACATCATTCTAATATTCCACCAGTCATAATTTGAACCATCCAACAGAGGTGGCCTGTTGTAATAACCTCCTTCTTCGTCCATAGTACCAGAAAATACTATCCTTCAGCTCACCCAATAAATAGAACACAGGGTGCCTGCTTTGATGCCAAATGAAATTCTAACACACACAATAAAATTGTCAATATTAACGTCTTAACACACAAGCACAATGTCATTACAAATGTTATTACATCTGCGGACTAACATAACTTTTACCTAAAAATATGCAATGAAAAATTTAAATGAAGAAGGTAAAATAACACATGGAATTGTTAACCCAGTTCAGTGCAACTCACTTACCCTAGGGGATACCAAGTCAAGAAGGAAATCCACTATCATTAGTATCAATTTAGAGCTAAATAATTCCAGTTTATACCCCACACTTAATCCCTACCCAGTGCAACTTCTACCTAGGCACCTCCTAGATATGAGAACCCCTCTCACTCCCAATCACCATAGTGATAAAGACCAATCTCAATCCCAATCCTAGGGAATGTCTCAAGAAACCAAAAAGGAAGAACACACTTCCAAATTTTAAATATTTAGTTTTCTTAAAAGCTTCAGTAAGAACAATACTCAACTCTTGCTTAAAAGTTTCGAGGAGAATAATAACTTGATAAACAAGTAATAATCAGTCAACTCAAATGCATCAAAAGATACATGAGGACGTATAAATAAAAATAGAAACCCCTTGAAGAACCATTAAAGCCTAAGACTAAGAAAATACAGCTTCCCTTTATTTTTACAAAGTTCTTGATGAATTTAAGTCTAGGTAGTTTCTTTAAATACTCTTCAGTAATCCTCGGGCCTTGAATCTTCGCCTAATTATTCCTTGTTGCACACACTGAGAGTTGCACCAATCCATGTAGAGAAATATCCTTAGAGAAATCTCCTTGAATCTTGGAACATAATACAAGGTTTCCTTAATTGTCTTAAAGTCCAATTTTGGCAACCTGTGTACAGTTGGAGATAAATCAAAATATTCTAGATTTAATATTCTTGACTTGAAAAAATAACTGAGATAAATCCATAAGGAATCTTAGAAAAACAAATCAAATCAGTCAAGATTTAACACAACAACACCTATTGTACCAGACCAAGATGTCATGACATCTGTTTTCGACATCTTGTTAAAAACATATAACAACTGAACTGTCATGACAATTGATGCAGATGTTATAACATCTTGCACAACATCAGTAGAACCATGTTTAAGCAAAATTATTTCCAATCCTAAAACCATGGTACTAACAATATTTCTAAAAATGTTTTGGACTCATGCAAATTGAATCGGGAACTTTCAGAAAGTTTTGGACAAAATTTTGTATTGTCCAATCGATTGACACTCATACCCAATCGATTGAGCGAATGCAAAAGTTGTCCTTAAACATTTGTGTAAAATTTCTTAATGAAGGGTAACGATAATGTATCCATTATTTCCAATTTAAATATTCAAATTGTTTATTTTTGGGTCTTCCAAACGATTGGAGGAAGATTTCGATCAATTGTCACATTATTTTTGGCCCATGGATCTTTTCTTTTTTGTGCCAACCTATAGCCTATAAATACAAGCTATTTCCTTCATATTTTCACATCTAGAAACGTGATCCTTCTATCTCACTTCTCACTCTTTCTCTCAATAAAATGTTTTAAACTTTCTCTCACATAAATTTAGCTGTAGCGTTTCGAGAAAATCATTTTGTGTGAGGAATTTTGTATTTTGGAAATGACATTATTGTAAATTCATCAAGGAGTGTTTTTTCTCTTGGTTGAATAACTTATCCTTAAGGGATTGTTTGTTTGGATTCAAAGCTAAACCCTTTAAAAACTTTGATTTTGGGGATTTAAGTTTTAAGTCACCGACTCGGTTTGTAAGCTCGACCTGGTTAAAAGCTTACTTCAGTTCGAGATCATCCCAACTTAATATTCAGTTCAGTTCATAAGTTGAACCTTGTTAAAAGCTTACTTTGGTTCGAGATCATCCTAGTTTAAAATATCCCTAAGTCCAATTTAAAACATTTCTTGGGTTCAGGATAAGCCTGGTTTAAAATATAAACACGGTTCATGGTCAGCCTGGTCAAAACCTTGGTTCAGCTCATGAGTTCATCCTGGTTAAAAGCTCACTCTGTTTGAGATAATTCTATAAAAAAAATTAGTTTAACAATATGATTAAGTGATTTGTTAATTCAGATTTAAATGGAGATTTAAATTTGAATTTAAATTAAAACAAATCATATCTTATTGGAGAGATTTATGAAACAAATAATATCCAAAATATTATGCATTATTTTTGGATGAAGTCAAATCAAATATCCATGAAGAAAAGTCCAGAATTATTATGCTATATAAGGAGTTCAAACCTATATTGGAATTCAAGCATTCATATCGAAGATTTTAGAGTGTTAGATTTACAAAAGTCATTGTTATTTTATATACACCACACTATGTTTAAGTAACTTAGCATAGTTGTAGGTTTGTGAAGTTGAGTTGTAAAATTCAACATCACTCATAATTTTGATTGAAATTGACCACTAGGGTTTAGTGGTTGTAATCCAAACACTAGGGGTTAGTGTTTGAGAAACAAAAAGTAAGAGGGTGTCTTATATTTAAGGGGATTCCTAAATAGAAATTTATTGGGTAGTGTTAGACAAAGACATTGAACAATATAGGGTTTACTGTTACTTGTAAGACTAATTGTTCTAAGCTACTAATTATGAATTTCCTTTCTTTGGTTGAAAGTCAACCCTCCTGACATAGATGTAGGTTGCAATGAACTAGGTTACCAATTAATTGTGTTATTTATTGCTTTTATGATCCATCATCCTGTACAAGTTATTTCTGGTTATTCTAGTTTAACTTGTCATACCAGTTGCTAGGACATTGCGTGCGACATCTGTTCCACGAGGAACATAATTTCAAGTTTGTTATCATCATGAATTTATGTCCTTTTCACTATGATATTTATTGCTTTTGTTTAAAGATTATGAATTATATCCCAGTGATCAAAGCCGTGTTTGGAGACTATTGAAGAATAGATGAGAAAATTGAGAAATAGATCTGCTACCTTTAGAGAAGTGATGTCTTTGTAACTTTAGGCAAACTTAATAGAAAATGAATCATTAAAATATATTACTAATAGAGAGAGAGAGAGAGAAAAAAAAAATCTAGAGTGAGATAGAGACAAAGGTATCAAAGGTATCAATATCTAAAGTCAGTTATTTCCAGCCTAAAAAATTGAATAAACGAGCAAAAGACGGAGAGCATTATGAGTGACTTGTAATTTGTAATTACGCTAGTAATTCGCAAGACTAAAAAAATATAAGAAATTCAAATTGAACAGATAATAACGTGTGATCTATAATTGTGAATAATACGTAATTCACTTTTACGCCGCTCTATCTCATCTAAACTGCTATTGATTAAGTTGGACAATTTTATTTTCTCGTATGTTTTGCTTTTGGTAACCGTTATGTATTGAATGACCAATACATTACGACAAATAATCATACATTATTAGTGATTTTAGTGTATATATAATATAAAACTAATAATAATAAAAATAAAACACTTACAAAATAGTATAAAGACTATGATTAATTGACGATGTATATCATCAGACATACATAAATAAAATCTTTGTTTTTGACAAGATTTATGACATTTTTTTTAAATTTAATATAATTCAAGTATACTAACGGAAATGCTTTTTTTCTTGTGAAGAAAAGCAAAACAATTATTTCAATAAATACATGGTCATTGAAATTTAAAATATCAGCGTTTGTAGTCCAACGGTTAGGATAATTGCCTTCCAAGCAATAGACCCGGGTTCGACTCCCGGCAGACGCATTTTATAATATATGTTTTATTAGTAAGTAAAGGTGTTACCCCACCAGGAATGAAGAGTTTTTGCATTTGTGGTTCATATCAATCTTTCACCGCAACATTAACTTCACACCTTATTCCTACAACACATAGTAACCTCCCCAATGGAATTGTGTTCCACAACTCTTTCTTTCTCTTCTTCCACTTCCATTCTCAATTTTCAGGTAAATTTCTTATCCATGCATGTTGATTATTGATTCTAATTGCTCTTGTTAACTACTAGAAACAAATTTTATTTTACTTTTAATTTGTGTTGCAGAGCCCAAAATTTCCTAAAAGGAATTTCTGTGAGAAAATTTCAAACCCTACATTACCTAAACCATTTCTCCAGATACATGGTAAACCTCATACACTAATTTATGAACAAAACTCAACAAGACTTTCTCCTAGAACATACAGACCATCCATATCAGCTAAATCCGGAAAACAGAGTTGGGATTTAGGAAGATTTATAAAAACATTATACTTCTTCAATGGACCTCCATCTCCAGCTAAGGTAACATTTTTTTTTTCTTTCAATTTTTCTAAAGTTCATTGAATAATATAGAGAAATAGAAACCTGGGCTTGGATTGGATCAACTAATGAATATTTATCATTTCTGAATTGTGAAGTTCTTTGACTTTCTAGTTGGGAAACTATCAAGTCCTTCCACTAGTGAATCGGTTATGGGGACTTCGGATATTGTTCTTGTTGCTGGAGCTACTGGTGGTGTCGGTCGAAGAGTGGTTGACGTGTTACGAAAGAAAGGAATTCCTGTTCGAGTTTTGGTATTGTTTTGTGGATTGTCTTTGATAAGTTCTTGGTGCGAATAATTTGATCAATGAATAATAAATATTCTGTTTAACTTGTGTATTGGTATTTATCAGGTTAGAAATGAAGAGAAAGCAAGAAAGATGCTAGGCTCAGATGTTGACTTGGTGAGTTACTTTACTTGAATGTGCTGAAATACTTTACAATTCATGAAATAATATAAATATATGTACTTTCTTAGTTTGCAATAATTTGATGTTGATAATGAGATGTAATTGGACCTAAATATGATTGATCCCTAAATAATGGAAAAATGTTACTAACGGAGGGCAGAGTAGTCAATAGCGGCGCTATCCCGCTATAGCAGAGCCAGTGTTATCAAATTTCCCCGCCATGGCCGCTATGGCGGATATACACGGCGGTTTCTGGGCTTGTCGCAATGGTAAATATCAGCCGCTATTGCAGGTTTTTCTGCCATAATCCGCAATAACGGCGCCGCAAAGCGGCTGGTATGGCGGGATTTTATCTCTCCGCCATCGACAACATTGAGCGGAGCAGAGGCCGTCCATTATACAAAGAGTCTTAGCAGTGCAGAACACTATAGAGGTGATATTGGGTACACAACAGGTAGCGGGGCCGAGCAGTTCCTGGTCGAGCGGGTTTTTTTCCCGCTATCCTTTTCCCTCTGAAAAATTGAAATCTCCCCTTCAATTTGAAACATTTTAAGGGTAATTTTGGGTTTTTCAATCAAATTTGAGTTGAGACTCAATCCTATCCTTTGCCTTCTCTATTTTTATTTTAATCACATTGAAGAAAATGAAGAGTTTGAAGAAGATAATAGGGTGGAGGATGAAGAGGAATATGTTGAAGAAGAAGACTTGTTTGATGATGATTTGTTGCTTAAAAGACTTCAATTATGACGATGTTTGATTTCTATTATAGTTTGAATTTTAATATTAGTACTTATGTTTGAATTTTGGAATGTGATGTTTTGTTAATACTAATTGATGTTGATTAAGATTTTTGATTAAGACTAGTTGGTTTTTGAGACTTTTTTATCATGTCTTGTGCTCTGATTCAGGGGTGGAAATAGGTTAGGCTAGGTTTTATATGGCCTGAGCCTGGCCTATGATAAACTTACAAGGCCTGAGCCTGGCCTATAGCCTACTATAGGCTCATTTTTTTGGTCTGGTCTGGACTTTTTAAAAGCCTGGCCTGACCTGAAAGCCTATTTAAAAGTCTGTTTTTCATTAAGGTTTTCAATAAATCCATATTACTTAAGAAGCCTTATACATTAGCCTATATATGCATATATAGGCCGATCTATTTAGCATTTTTTTTCTAATATGTATGCATATATTTGTCATCCTATTTAGCCTTTTTTCTAATATATATGCATATATAAAATATTTAGACTATTTTTAATATATATATATATATATATATATATATATATATATATATATATATATATATATATATATATATATATATATATATATATATATATATATATATATATATATATATATATATATATATATATATATATATATATATATATATATATATATATATATATATATATATATATATATATATATATATATATATATATATATATATATATATATATATATATATATATATATATATATATATATATATTCCCACCCCTAGCTCTGATATTTTAGGGGTTTTCAGTTATTTGTTTTAGTTTACATTAAAGATATATTTATAATTATTACTCATGTAATTTGTCCAAAAAATGATCAAATAGCGGTCATCCTGCATTATGCTATCCCGCTATCCCATTTTTGGGGTCAGCCAATCCGCGCCGCTATCCAGGATTAACTACTTTGATGGATGGTATGTTTGTTTGCAAAAGAGATGCTAAATTGACTGCCAGCCAAGTACAAAGTCTTTACTAATCCGAGCATGAAAGACTTATGTAAATTTTAAAACTAGCTGGTGGAAGATAATGAACGATGTTCATCAATGCTAAACTTTCCTGTTTTATATTTACATGTATTCTGCGATTACATATATTATACTGCAAAAAATTGATAAATTTTATTCACCCTTTACTTCCTCTACATTAGGACCAACTAACCTTTTTGTTGAAACTAAGGTTGTTGGAGACATTACAAAAGATAGTACTTTGATCCCTGAATACTTTAAAGGAGTAAAAAAAGTGATCAACGCCGTTTCTGTTATTGTTGGCCCTAAAGAAGGAGACACTCCGGACAGAGCAAAATACAGCCAAGTAAGTTCACTCACTTTATTAAGAATAGAAATGCGTTTTTTTTTTAATTAATGGATATCTTTCATGGGAAATGAGTGGATTATTGCCGATTTATCAAGTGAATGATTTTCTCAATGTCTTAGTTATTGAATGTTTGTTTAAGGCTTCATAATCACCTCTTTCTAACTGATTGAATTTATTTGATGCAGGGAATTAAGTTCTTTGAGCCAGAGGTAAATAACTGTCTTTCCCTTTTGTTGAGACTATCTTCGGAGTCAGATTTGTTGTCTATTTAATTTAAAAGTCAAGTTTGTATGCAAGCTCGTCATGAAAAATCTCGAAGCTTTTCTCTTAGTTGTTGGTTTTGAAATCAGATAAAAGGTGATTCACCTGAAAAAGTAGAGTACATAGGAATGAGAAATTTGATCAAGGCCGTGAAGAACAACCTTGGACTTCGCAGGGGAAAGTTATTATTTGGATTTGAAGGTAGGTTCCTAGTTAACAACAATGCTTGATTGATTCAACTTCTGTATTTCTTGATCTAATTTTCAACTCATGAATGGCTAGTGACCACCAACTTAGATTTATGCGCAGTGTGCCTGCCTACTAAAAAGAAAACAGTAAAAGTTGAACAACTGATTTTGTTTCTTCTGCGCGTCCTATTGATCGTATTTCTTTCTCTAATTTTCTGGCAGGTGAAAGTTACAGGGAGCTTTCTTGGGGCGCTTTAGATGACGTGGTAATGGGTGGAGTTAGTGAAAGTACTTTTCAAATTGACTCAAATGGTAGTGAAAATGGTGGACCAACTGGGGTTTTTAAAGGCATGTATCAATTTCTTGCATATGTGTGCAATTGTACTTCTAGGGGAATTGAATGGCACGTCCTTCGTATTTTACCGCTCAAAATAATATAGCCTTGTGTCTAATCCAGGTGTTGTTTCATCGGCAAATAATGGTGGATTTACAAGTATCAGAACAAAGGTAAACTGCAATTTTTACTTTAACCAAGTATTGTATTTGTAGGAAACTAAGTTGTTAAGTGAAAAGAAGAGAGTTTACATAATTGGTTTTCAGAATTTTTCAGAACCTGAGGATCTCTCTGCATATGATGGTTTGGAGTTCCGTCTAAAAGGTGATGGGCGTAGATATAAGGTCATTATACGCACAAGCACTGATTGGGATGCGCTTGGGTACACTGTAGGCTTTAACACAGAGAAAGGCAAATGGCAATTGGTAGTTGAAATCTAAAATCATTGATTCCGTTATCTATTTTATGTAATGACAGCTCTCAACGGTGTTGTTTTTTTGGCTTTCACAGATTCAATTGCCATTTTCTTCCCTGAGGCCCATATTTCGAGCAAAAACTGTGTCTGATGCTCCGCCATTTGATCCCAGCAACGTTGCATCACTGCAGGCATGGCTCAGTTGTTATATTTCTTTGTCTTTTGGCCTTGCAATCTCACACACATGTTCTTAATGATGAAGCAAAATTCTCTGCAGCTCATGTTCAGCAAGTTTGAATATGATGGTAAATTGAACGAGACTTTTGTGGAAGGTCCGTTTGAGCTTCCAGTATCTAGCATAAAGGCATATATAAATGATCCAATAACTCCTAGGTATAGCCTTATTTTCTGGATGCCTTTCCCATCCTTTTTTTCATCCCTAATTGCTTATTTTTGTGCTGTGTTTTTGTCATTAAGATTTGTACATGTGGGCTCAGCGGGAGTTACCAGACCAGAAAGGCCCGGACTTGATCTAAGTAAACAGCCTCCTGCAGTTCGATTAAACAAGGAACTTGATTATATCCTCACATTTAAACTAAAGGTAGCATAATGTCGATGGCTCTTTATTTGTTTCCATTTCTATGTTACATCTTCATTTGCTGAGAGCAATTAATGCTGCAATAGGGTGAGGATTTAATCCGAGAAAGTGGCATTCCATATGTGATCGTGAGGCCTTGTGCATTAACTGAAGAACCTGCTGGAGCTGATCTAATCTTTGATCAAGGAGATAATATTACGGTATTGAGAAAACATTTTCTTGGTTTAAGAGCTCTTGCTAAACATTCATGTCTCATTCATATTTCAGTATAGTAGCATTTTGCTTCTTTGTCACTCATTTTCCAATTTAATGCATAATAGGGTAAAATATCAAGGGAAGAGGTTGCTCAGATGTGCGTAGCAGCACTTGAAAGCCCTTATGCATGCGATAAAACATTCGAGGTCAGCCTTTTCCTTTACAATCCCCAATCCATATATGAATCTAGTAATTCGATTGTGGATAATCTCACTAGTTTGGAAGCTTTACATCATCTATGCAACTATATCTATTGCAGGTCAAAAGTGTTATTCCATTTAGCGAACCATTTACGGTGGATCCAGAAAATCCTCCTCCAGAAAAAGACTATGATATATACTTTAAAAACTTAAAAGAAGGCATAACTGGAAAGGAAGCCCTTCAACAAAATCCTATGCCTGTTTAATGTTCCTGCATTGCAGTTCAGCTATGGATATTGAGGATAAAGTACATTGAGGTGCACATAATCTTTGAATCCAAAGAAATATAAACCAAACAAAACTATGATACTTTATAAGCCTAGAAATGAATGTTGCCCTATACAAGATGCATGTATATTGTGCTTAAACATACTTTCCTTTTCCTTGTTTGTTTTAGCAGATAGGAAGGCAAGGAATTTTGACATTCATAATCCACACAACCATACTACACTTTTCATATACCAAAATAAATTTGGTTTTGACACCAATATTTGTAAAACATTTATCCTAGTATGATTTATTCTCACATTCACATATTGGTATATTACATGTTCTAACTCTGAATTTCTAAGGTCCATAAGATTCAACTGCTATTTTATCTTCTAGTCCATCTAACATCCAACCCGAGTAAACATCCATGAAGCTCAACATGCGGTAGACCGATGATCTGTCGATAAGGCGACCAATGTCTAGCAGTGGATAAGATTCTTTAGGACAAGTGTCATTCAGATCAGTGAAGTCCAAATGCATGCGCCGTCTGTTGTTTTATTTCCTTACCAAAACTACATTGGTCAGCCAACTAAGGTATTTTGTTTTTGTAATGAATCTGACGTCAAATAGCTTGCATACTTCTTTGTCATTGGAGGCCCTTTTCTCCTCACCAATTTTTCACCTCCTTTGCGCTACTGAATTGACAGAGGGGTGGATGGAAAGGCGATGGCTCACCACCTTGGTATATATCCCATGCATATCAGAGAGGGCCCAATCAAATGAGTCAATAATTTTCATGAGTTGGTCGACTAGCTCGTGTTCTTCTTACTCGGTAAGTGAAGTACTTATCTTTGTAACCTTATGGACCTAAGGGCCTATCCGTACCTCCTTTAAATCTCATTGGGCGTGAGCCTTTCAACTTTTTAGCCTAATATTGGATCCTAAAAGTCGAGATATGTATTTGGAAATTAAGGAGGGGAGCGCAAACAATTGAGAACTCTTGCTTCTTTGTTTCTAGGCAACTCTAGTAACATTCTTGAGGGATATGTTGGTCTCCTCTAACTATACCAACTCACCCTCTAGAGAGTGGGTATTTCAAGATTATGTACAAGGTGGAAATAACCATCCCTAGTGCATTGATGGCAGGTCGTCCAAGGATGATGTTGTATGGTGACATGGCGTCGATAATGATGTAGTTGACTTCGACCGCCTTAGTGTTCGCGCCATTGCAACATGTAGTCTCCAGGGTCACATGACCTCTTGTATATGTTTGCCCGATAATCCTATTAACGAGCCACTAAGCAATTTGACGTCGTTGGGAGTAAGCTGCAGTTTTTGTAAAATGTCCAAGAACAGGATGCCAACAGAGTTATTATGATCTATATAGAACCACTTGATATCCTAGTTTCCATGTTGTACAGTGATGACCAGGGGGTCATTATTATGAGGATTGAATCGACAACGTCTCTGTCGGAAAAAGGAGATGTTAACCCATATTTCCCCTCGTGTGCCCTTAGGAAAACCATGAGATATTACATTTACAGAAAGCACATGCCTTGTGTATTTCCTTTGGGAGGAGCTGGAGCTATCTCCACCAGCGAAACCTTCGGCTATGGTGTTTGTATTAGAATGTAGGGATGTGTTATCCATCTTTAAAGGGAAGATGAAATGAGTGAGAATGAGAGAGGTGTGACCAATGTTAGTTTTACCGAGACCTCACAGTGGGTGCCACTGTACTAGTAAAAAAGTACAGGTGTGCATATTACCCCTGCTTGTACTCAGAGGCCTTAGTAGGGTTTCCTTGAGAAGGGTTACTTTCCACTCCATCAATGGTAAACCGTTGAATCCCTATTACCCAGAGAGACGTGGGGAAGTTATTAACCCTGACTTTCCTTTGTCCAAGAAATGTCTTATCCCATGTTTACCATAATCGGGAAAAAAGGTATTAGGCGAGGCAATACCTTCTAGAGGGTAACATATGATCATCAACCTTCCTGGGGGAGATGCATCTCCCTTCCTCTTAAGGCCTTTTTAAACTATAAAACTACAATGCAGTTGCTGAGATTCGAAGGTGTGCCCCTTGAATATTTTTCCATCGGTTTCCGTCTCAACCGAGATAATACGTCATAAACAAAAATATAAAAGTTAAAAGTTTTTAAATACTCCCCCCCCCCTTTCAATTGCAACATGTAGTCTCCAGGGTCACATGACCTCTTACTTGTATATGTTTGCCCGACAATCCTATTAACGAGCCACTAAGCAATTTGACGTCGTTGGGAGTGAGCTGCAGTTTTTGTAAAATGTCCAAGAACAGGATGCCAACAGAGTTATTATGATCTATCTAGAACCACTTGATATCCTAGTTTCCATGTTGTACAATGATGACCAGGGGGTCATTATTATGAGGATTGAATTGACAACGTCTATGTCGGAAAAAGGAGATGTTAACCCATATTTCCCCTCGTGCGCCCTTAGGAAAACCATGAGATATTACATTTACAGAAAGCACATGCCTTGTGTATTTCCTTTGGGAGGAGCTGGAGCTATCTCCACCAGCGAAACCTTCGGCTATGGTGTTTGTATTAGAATGTAGGGATGTGTTATCCATCTTTAAAGGGAAGATGAAATGAGTGAGAATGAGAGAGGTGTGACCAATGTTAGTTTTACCGAGACCTCACAGTGGGTGCCACTGTACTAGTAAAAAAGTACATGTGTGCATATTACCCCTGCTTGTACTCAGAGGCCTTAGTAGGGTTTCCTTGAGAAGGGTTACTTTCCACTCCATCAATGGTAAACCGTTGAATCCCTATTGCCCAGAGAGACGTGGGGAAGTTATTAACCCTGACTTTCCTTTGTCCAAGAAATGTCTTATCCCATGTTTACCATAATCGGGAAAAAAGGTATTAGGCGAGGCAATACCTTCTAGAGGGTAACATATGATCATCAACCTTCCTGGGGGAGATGCATCTCCCTTCCTCTTAAGGCCTTTTTAAACTATAAAACTACAATGCAGTTGCTGAGATTCGAAGGTGTGCCCCTTGAATATTTTTCCATCGGTTTCCGTCTCAACCGAGATAATACGTCATAAACAAAAATATAAAAGTTAAAAGTTTTTAAATAGCCCCCCCCCCCTTTCAATTTCAACATGTAGTCTCCATGGTCACATGACCTCTTACTTGTATATGTTTGCCCGACAATCCTATTAACGAGCCACTAAGCAATTTAACGTCGTTGGGAGTGAGCTGCAGTTTTTGTAAAATGTCCAAGAACAAGATGTCAACAGAGTTATTATGATCTATCTAGAACCACTTGATATCCTAGTTTCCATGTTGTACAATGATGACCAGGGGGTCATTATTATGAAGATTGAATCGACAACGTCTCTGTCGGAAAAAGGAGATGTTAACCCATATTTCCCCTCGTGTGCCCTTAGGAAAACCATGAGATATTACATTTACAGAAAGCACATGCCTTGTGTATTTCCTTTGGGAGGAGCTGGAGCTATCTCCACCAGCGAAACCTTCGGCTATGGTGTTTGTATTAGAATGTAGGGATGTGTTATCCATCTTTAAAGGGAAGATGAAATGAGTGAGAATGAGAGAGGTGTGACCAATGTTAGTTTTACCGAGACCTCACAGTGGGTGCCACTGTACTAGTAAAAAAGTACATGTGTGCATATTACCCCTGCTTGTACTCAGAGGCCTTAGTAGGGTTTCCTTGAGAAGGGTTACTTTCCACTCCATCAATGGTAAACCGTTGAATCCCTATTACCCAGAGAGTTGTGGGGAAGTTATTAACCCCGACTTTCCTTTGTCCAAGAAATGTCTTATCCCATGTTTACCATAATCGGGAAAAAAGGTATTAGGCGAGGCAATACCTTCTAGAGGGTAACATATGATCATCAACCTTCCTGGGGGAGATGCATCTCCCTTCCTCTTAAGGCCTTTTTAAACTATAAAACTACAATGCAGTTGCTGAGATTCGAAGGCGTGCCCCTTGAATATTTTTCCATCGGTTTCCGTCTCAACCGAGATAATACGTCATAAACAAAAATATAAAAGTTAAAAGTTTTTAAATACTCCCCCCCCCCCCCCCCTCACTTTCCAGCTCAACCGATGGCTGCTTTATAAAAAAAAACGTGACACGTAATTGGTGTACACCTTAATTGTTAGTTGGTTGAGGTGAGAGATTTGTCATAAAATGTGTTATTTGTAGTAGTTAGTGACCTTCTCACGAGTGTCTATATGGAACTATCCTCTATCTATGACCTCTCTTATCGGTTCCTCATCTAGTAACTCATGATGGGTATTCATAAGGGTCTCCTTTTGGATTTGGTGCCATGTAAGGATGAAACACTCTATAAAATCATTTGATATAGTTGTATATTATACTAAATGGGCGAAGAGTTGACACAATACGTACATCCTCTAGAACTAAATGTTTATGGTAGTTAACAAATATCATATCGACATCTCTACAAAGGACAATGGTAGGAGCAACAATTGTGGGGTTCCTGATTATACCCTAAAAATACCCAAACTGCCACAATACTAACTCATGTAGATTCAGATACATAAGTCGAGACCCACAAACCACTCATCTGGAGTACCAAGATATTACCTCTAACAACAGTATCTTACGGTGCTCATTATATAGTGTGAAATATATATCATCCGCCAGAATGTAGTCAAGAGAAAACATGTAGACTTAGTATCCAAATTACCCCTAAGTGAGATTAACCGGAACACACATGGAAAATACTCAGTGTAGACGTCAACACATCCAAACCGACGCGTGTAAAATTCCTAAGAATCCATGCCTAAAAATAGTTCAAATGAAATATCAGTAAGTGTGTAACATAAGTATGTGAAATTAATATCAGTAAGGGTGTAACATGTAGACATCGATCACACTTTTTTCCATAAAAATGTCAGTTCCAACCAAGAGTAGGAAGTATGCCTTCAATGCATATACACTATGATAAGTGATCTTACCT